AGCCCTAGACGTCACCAACACAGCAGCAAAAGCTGCAAACGTCCGAAAAGCATGGGCGAAAGGACAGACCGCAGGCTGGAAGACTTAAAAACTCTGCGGACGACCTGGGAGACCCGAGCCCTGAAACAGGGAACGAGGGGAACCAGATAACACGAAGCGCATCCCCAGACATGGTACACAGGTAACAGCAAAGAAGCGCAACCGGACAATACAGGACGTACCCCCGGCCAAACCAATCAAGCATCAAAAACCCAAGAACCCCTTCCCGAAAGCAGCCATCTCGACCGTCGCCAGAAGGACGGAGAAAGGCTGCTCACATACAAATCTACCACTAGTACCAAAGAGCAGAAACCTGAACCGAAGGGGCTACCACAAACTGAGGCAATGATAAGAAGGCACCCTGATGAAGGACCAGGACGGCTCAGGCGACGCATGAGCAGGCTGGAGGTGAAACAAAACACGAGAAAGCGTACGAAACGGGGCAGATGTGACGTCCCCCCTGAACGCAAGCCGGAGCGGCTCCGCCAGCACCGCACATAATGAGGCGACCGTAAGAAACATCAAAACCTTAGTTCTGAAAACCCAAGAAAGGACAAAAACACACGATGTGAAAGAGAAGACAACCTACGAAGAGCAAGAAAAAGTGCATAGAAACACCAGGAACGTCATACTGTTGCCGAGACGAAACTCGCAGGTGGGACACCACAACAAAGCCACCTGATCACCACAGAGATGGTGATACCCGCGTCAAAATACCAGACGCGAAGAGCTGAGGAGAAGGCTGAAGCAGTCACATACAGGACCGATCCGACCTGCCGAGGAGTTGTGGGAAGAGGAGAGGTGAGCAGTGTTGTGTAGTGTGGAGGAGTGGTGGGAAGAACAGAGGCGAGTAGTGTTGTGTAGAAGGGGAGCCGGTCGGCCGAGTGGACAGCACGCTGGACTTGTGATCCTGTGGTCCTGGGTTCGATCCCAGGCGCCGGCGAGAAACAATGGGCAGAGTTTTTTTCACCCTATGTCCCTCTTACCTAGCAGTAAATAGGTACCTGGGTGTTAGTCAGCTGTCACGGGCTGCTTCCTGGGGGTGGAGGCCTGGTCGAGGACCGGGCCGCGGGGACACTAAAGCCCCGAAATCATCTCAAGATAACCTCAAGATAGTGTGGAGGAGTGGTGGGAAGAGCAGAGGCAAGTAGTGTTGTGTAGTGTGGAGGAGTGGTGGGAAGAGGAAAGGTGAGCAGTGTCAAAAGCGATGGACAATACAATATTACAAAAGATGACTGGGAAGAGAAGAAGACAGAAAACATTGGTATTGACGTACTGATAGAAAAACATTATCTTGCAAGGAGGTGGAAGGATAAGTTTTTGAAGTATAAGATGGAAAAGGAAAAGGAGAACTCGAAGTGTTAAATTGGAGAAAGTGAGAAAACGAACAAGGGAGAACTTGTTCTGCAAGGGCCTCCCTAACCTCTGCAGGGTAAATTTGAGAGGTAGAAAATACCCAGAAGGACACAGCCGCAGAACACAGCCCCCTGATATGGGGGGCAACCCCATATCAATTTTGTACAAGGAAGGGGGGTACGAAAACCCCGAACCATGCACAGCAGATCCTGTCCCATAAGCACCAAAACCTCTCAACCCCTCAACCCCAATGCTCAACCTCTCAACCAGGCACAGGCAGTGGTAACAATGACAGTGACCTCAACCTCTCAACCAGGCACAGGCAGTGGTAACAATGACAGTGACCTCAACCTCTCAACCAGGCACAGGCAGTGGTAACAATGACAGTGACCTCAACCTCTCAACCAGGCACAGGCAGTGGTAACAATGACAGTGACCTCAACCTCTCAACCAGGCACAGGCAGTGGTAACAATGACAGTGACCTCAACCTCTCAACCAGGCACAGGCAGTGGTAACAATGACAGTGACCTCAACCTCTCAACCAGGCACAGGCAGTGGTAACAATGACAGTGACCTCAACCTCTCAACCAGGCACAGGCAGTGGTAACAATGACAGTGACCTCAACCAGGCACAGGCAGTGGTAACAATGACAGTGACCTCAACCAGGCACAGGCAGTGGTAACAATGACAGTGACCTCAACCTCTCAACCAGGCACAGGCAGTGGTAACAATGACAGTGACCTCAACCTCTCAACCAGACACAGGCAGTGGTAACAATGACAGTGACCTCAACCTCTCAACCAGGCACAGGCAGTGGTAACAATGACAGTGACCTCAACCTCTCAACCAGGCACAGGCAGTGGTAACAATGACAGTGACCTCAACCTCTCAACCAGACACAGGCAGTGGTAACAATGACAGTGACCTCAACCTCTCAACCAGGCACAGGCAGTGGTAACAATGACAGTGACCTCAACCTCTCAACCAGGCACAGGCAGTGGTAACAATGACAGTGACCTCAACCTCTCTACCAGGCACAGGCAGTGGTAACAATGACAGTGACCTCAACCTCTCAACCAGGCACAGGCAGTGGTAACAATGAC